GGACTAGAACTCACTGTCTCCTGGTGATTGGCCCAAAGGCACCCAGCTGGCTTCCATGCCTAAGGCGGAACTAGAACTCACGGTCTTGGCTTTCTAGCTTGGTTCCTTAACCCCAGAGCTGGATCAAACTGGATCAGATGTATAAGAGGGTAAAAAAAATACATCAGACGCATAATAAATCATGTTCCCATGAGGCCCGGATTGGCCTTAGATGCTGAGCACTCCAAATGAAATTATGTGACCATGGGAGAGGGATGCTGGCTGGATCCTAAATACAAATCTGGATCCTAAATACATTTTTTGTGGGATCTTTCAGAACTTTGATTGGTCACTAAACAAGTTGCCGTAAGTCAGGGAATAACCTGTATACTTCCCTTGGTATTCCAATCTGGGAGAGACACGAATGGCTGGGTGGCTAGTGGGTTATGGAGAGCCGAAGACCAAAGCTTTATTAGAAAATCTTGATGAAAGGGTACAGGTTTTCCTACTTGGTCGGGGTTGGACTAGAGGACCTCCAAGGTCCCTCCCAACTCTGGTTAGTGTATTCTGCATTTCCCTAGCAAGACTCGGACGTGCAGGTCTCACTTTGTAAAGAAGACGGGGGAAGCAGAACCTTTAATGAACAAATGAAATAAATAAGTGGACGTTTTTCCTCTCCCCGTTCTGTAGGAATCTCCACCCAGTCGGTCAACTCCTTAGGACAGACTCCGCTCTTCACCGCCGCCTTGCTCGGACTGGGGAAACTGGTGGACATCCTCCTGGATTATGGGTCGGACCCAAACCAGTAAGTACGAGGCATTAAATGGGCGAGAAGCAGGATTCAGGTCAAGTTAGGTTTATTTGATTTCTTTTTGAACAAAACTATTTTGCTGTTCTGAGGAAGGTGTGAGGAAAACCGTCCCTTTGCTCCTCCGTTGGGGGTCATGGGTACCAGAGGGTGGGGGGCCATCTCCAAAAGGAGAATTTGCAGTATCCCAAGGGGGGAGGGGGTCAGAAAAGTCAAGGATGGGGGGGGGTCCCCGCTGCGGGATCGGAGCCCTGCCCTAGTCAGCAGGTGCTGCTGC